TCCATTCCCCTGAATCTCCAACAGTGCCATCTGCAACACATCAGCACTCATTAACAGACAGCTCTGGGAAACAGTTTAAGCTCTTATATATCATATACTACGGGTCCCATCTCACCTCTAAGGCACACATGCCAAAGGAGTAGATGTCTGCGGCTGTAGTAACATCAACATCTACAATGGGAAAAGACAGCATGTACATATATTACATCGTAATCTAGACTAAGACCTATGATCCAATAATCAAAAGTGCGTCTTTGACAGCTGACCAAAAAACCCCCAAAAAACCCCCAAAAAACAAAAAAAAAAACCCCAACCCAAAAAGAGATATTAATAAGAGCATACATGATCCTGTTGCATGAAGTACTTTGTGCCTGCAATTTCAATGGAAAAATAACTGTGCAATAAGCAAAAATATTAGAATAGGGCATAAGAATTTAGTATGCCTCCAAGGACCTCTTCCTTACATTTTATATTGTTCTAATACTTTGATGTTATATACATTTACATAAAATACTGTTTGTATAAAAATACAAGCTTGCCATATTTTATTTAACAGAAAGGGTTTTGAAGAGAAAAACGTGTACTCTCTTAAACTAAAGCAAAGAAAATGAAATATGGAACACCCTGACTTTTCAATCATGTTACTATAATAAAAATATTTTTGTGAGAAAGCTGAAGTTCATGTGTTTAAACATGTTTTCCAACAGAGCTGTATCATAGGTATAAATTGCTAATATCAGTAATAAGAGAAAATCTACCTCCATATTCCGGAGCAAAGAAGTGCAAATTTTTCTGTTCCTCGGTACAAGTCTTTACGTGGTTGTTAATGGTGTCTGGAGCAACTGCAAATGAGATAAGGACAATTATTTTCAGAATACACAGAAGGATGAGAGAAAAAGTAAGAAAAGTCTGAAAAGTAAGCATAGGATAGGAAGAAGCAAAACTGCAAACTGAAAAAAAAGTAATGAAACAAAAAAACAAAAACAAGAAAGATAAGCGATGAAAAGATGAACCAAATTCAGAAACTAGCGATGTAAATATTACCTTCTGTTGTTTAAACTTTAGTGTGGGATTGTCTGGAGGCTTTGTGGTTACACTTGAGTCACTGTAGCCATATTTACACTCAGAAAATTGGTTTTCTAAACCACATTATGCACAACTTTTGTTCCCTCATATGTACAAGAACAAGGCAAAGATTTGACCATTATATAAGAAGTCTGAACTCCTCAAAGTCTATTTCCTGCTCAGCTTGCAAACTAAAAGCAATAATAGGGGCTGTGTATTAAATATACATTTAACACTGGCAAGACTTGAACACTTGAACATTGTTTCTTGTTCTTTTGTACATAAAATCACATAAATTTCCTGTTTAATTCTACGAAAATTTTGGTTCTTATTCCATAATTTATTATAATTTGACTCCTTTACTGTTGCTTTGCCTTCACTACCTAAAACGCAGGGGATGAAACCTGTGTAATTTTATACCTGATCCAATCTTGATGAGGCCGTTGTGCTGAATGAAGACAGTGTCACAGGTCAGGTTGCCATGGATGATGGGAGGATCACAGGAGTGAAGATAACTGCATATCAGGAAAAAAAGAAAAAGAAATTACAATTACATACAATGTACTGGATTTCTATCAATGTGAGTGTATATTAAAATAAAAGAACATTTTTAAAAATGACCTTAGAGCTGAAAGAATCTGCGTGCACCATCTCTTCCAAGCCTATAGGATCATACAATTTATCAGAGCAATTTCTAGTTGGTTTCCAAAATGGCTTGACATTTAACCAAATAATAAGAAGCACATATTTGTTACTATAATATGAAAACTACGCTTTGCTCCAGAAAGACAGTCCCACATTCTGGCTTTAAACACAGTTACTTTTTACCTTTAGAGAAGACTTTTCATATATTCTAGTACATATGCAGTATTATAAAGTCTTTTTTTTTTACCTTTTCATTCATGGTCTTGTGATTCTTCTTTGTCTTTTTCAGAAACTGCTTCAAGCTTCCAGATGACATATATTCAGTAATAAAAATCACCTTAGGGAGATAAAGAAGTGTGTAGAAAACACAAAGAGAGACATTGTTCAAATGTAAACTGTGATTATTTCAGGGCAATAGTAATAATTCTTATGGAGTTGACAGAATATGAAACAATGTCTCCAAAAGCCTGAGACTCACCCTGGCCCCGTTGTCCTTTTTGTCAGCCCAGTATTTGTGAAACTTGACAATGTTGGCATGCTCCAAATGGATCAGGTTATCAAATACAGCCTCTACCTTCTCCTAAATCCAAGAAAAAAGGACAGAAAGCATAGCAGTTATAATAAAATAGTACAAAATGTTGCTTTTCCACTTGCTCATAGAGAGTTCCTGTAAAGTAGCTCCCAATGACATCACTCATACAATTCAAAAAATGCCACAGCGTCACTATGAACTTTGTACCAATGTGCCTGATCACTTTGTAACAATGTGCCTGATCACTTTGTAACAATGTGCCTGATCACTTTGTAACAATGTGCCTGATCACTTTGTAACAA